TTATTTCCTGAACAGAAATGTGCAGTTTCTTGTATCGAGAAGGCCATGTTTACACATCCAAAATTAAAACATTGCAATGATACAGAAAGTGATTTACTGAATTAATGCAAATAAAAGAAAAATGATAAAAATATACGTGAAAAAGTTAGCAATTAGATGAAACAAAATCGGTATCTTAACGATTTATTATGTTTTTTAGTTCCTGCACTGTTAAAAAGTAATAGAAACAATTATAAGTGAGGGCCTTCAGCCTCTTATTCCCCTCCAGATCTTGACCAAAGTGAGGGCCTTCAGCCTCTTATTCCCCTCCAGTGACGCCGTGCTTGTCATGAAAATAATTTACAACTTAAATTAATTTGCATGGACTCAACCTTGCCCTCATAAACATATGCATCAATCATTGCATCCATTGGCTATGACTTTCGGTAAGAAATGCTTTCGCATTGCAAATAACGGAGCTTTTCCTTACATACCTGTTCCGTTCTCTAAAATGCATAACGGAGCATTTCCTTACATACCTGTTTCGTTCTCTAAAATGCATAACGGAGCATTTCCTTACATACCTGTTTCGTTCTCTAAAATGCATAACGGAGCTTTTCCTTACATACCTGTTCCGTTCTTGGCGCCCTGCAAAATCTTCGATTGCCCTGCGAAATCGACTATTTTTTGGATTGGGGGGGTGTTACACCCACACACCCCCCGGTAGTTTCGCCCCTGTTGGAGCCCTATGTTTCGGTATAATTTGTTGATTTTCTGCGCCGCGCGTGGTCACAAACACTGATCAATGGTTACAAAGAATATTCACTCAGGCCATAGTCAGGCTTTCCTTAGGAAAAATAACTATTTGGATATCATGGATCAAACTAACTGTAACGAGACATCATGATTCTGCTGGTGAAGAAGTTTTTGCTGCTTCGGGCAGAGAAGGCCTAGACTGTCGTCACTTCATTTATACAAGAATCGATCGTTTCAAGACTAGTGGTATTTATGGAAATCAAATTGTTTAGAGTCGTTCTGTTGGTCTAATTTACTGTACAAGTCAGGAATATCACAGACATCGCGAGAAACCTGACTTTCATATAGTTTTCTCTCAGACTGCAGAGAACAAAGAAAAGTCATATTCAGAGAAAAGTCGAGATGGAGGGGAGATGGAGTGTGCATGACAGAAAAAGGGCTTGCTTAAATTTAATTTCAGCAGTTCGTCCTCCTGCCTTAACAGGAACTACAATACAATTCAGAGGTCCCGATGAAAAGCACGCCTGCTTAAACAATGGTAATTACTGGGAGCTTTTGTACTCGGTGACTCAGATTGTATTCTACTGGCAAAATGTCAATCTCTGATTTTTAAAACAAATCAATTCAAGACCCTATCTACCATGCATCCGACCTATCCATGTTGTGACAAAATATTTTTACTTTTTTAAATAATTTGTATCAATTATGTTTCCCGTATGTATTACAACTGTATATGCCTATTTGTGCAAGCAATTTCTTTTTAGTTAATGATTTCAAAAATTTCAATCCATGAAAACATTTCCAAATATAAATTATTTTAGAAAGAATTTTTATGGTGCTCTTTTGACTTCTTCCGAACACTTGTCCCCTTTTTTCCAAAATTTGGCAGTGAAAATTGATTCACTGCAATCTTGATTTCAATATATCCAGAAGGGCGTTTCCCCCTTTTCAGAGGGTCTTCAGGGCGTGGCTTCGCGCAATTTTTCTGGGGGCGTACCCCCAGACCCCCTTTGGGCAGGACCACATGTTCTTGGTTAGCTTCGCCACTGCATACATGCTTGCCGATGAAAACTTTCAACATTCTTCAAAGTCATTAAGGTATATGATGAAGAGAAGGGAGAATGAAAAGGAAGGCTAGGAAAAATTTTTTTAGCTCTGGGCATTCGTGTCGAGCAATATAATGTGATTCTGCCATCGGGAATTACCAGACTGCAAAGCTGGGCATGCCCAGGGAAAGTGTGCGTCTCGTCCGCGCATTTTTCAAATTTAGATTAATCCGCGCAGATGCAGCTCGGATTTTATGTGAATCCCGCGGACAGCATACAAAAGCCTCTATTCTGTATAGAGGGATCTCGTTTTCAGCCTTTCAAAAGGCAAGTGCACTGGTCTTTTATAGAGATCAGTGAGGCGAGCGGCAATGATTCGGCAACCTTTACAATCATTTGCTCGCGTTTCTGATTGGCCTAATTAGATCCACAACTAGGTAAATTTATTTAAATATTAAGCATGTTACAAAGCCATTTTCAATTCTTTTACCACCAAAATTGTTTGAAATGTTCTTTCACACTTGATGGGACTTAGCCTTGGCCTTAACACGACACCACTCTGCTGACATGAATAACGACCACCAACAATAAGCAACTTGCGCTTGACATCATGGCATACGTGGCTGAAGTATTTTATAATACACTCTTTTTTTAAGAACCAGTAAATTTAAGTTCAAGCTGACTGTTCTAATTTTTTCGAAAATCTGAGGCTGGATTTTTCTTAATTTGTTCTTAAATTAAGAGGGTGTAAGCAGTGCTATTGCTAGCTTTTCGCTCTAAGGAGGTGTTCAGGCCTAATTTGCCAACAAAGTGAGCGAGACAGCCTTAATTTGCTGACAAATTTGAATATTCACAGAAAAAGCACCCACACATAGCTAAAAATCCTCGATTTTGAGAAAAAACGTTGTTCAAAATCGCATTTTGCAGAAACTCAGCCTCAGCTTGTTCTTAATTTGTTCTTATCTTTTGACAAGTTTTGAGGCTCGTGTTCTTATAAAATTGTTCTTATAAAAGAAAGATTGTAACACAAAAAAACTTATTTTAGTTCTGACCCAGCTACTAGAGATTCCCTTTCCTTAAGAAATGACGTCAATTTCTAAAAAATACCGCGTCGCTCCAGAAATTTTTTGCAGGGACAGGGCAGTCACAGAGCAGGTCTTGTTCTTTTGCTCGAGTAACACGATCACTCTGTCAGACTAAAAAGTAGTTTTACATTAAATTCTTTAATTGCTCAAGTTCACTTACAAAACAGTAGAAATATTTTTTTTGATTTTTTTGTGTGAAATAGTTCTCAATTTCACATTTCATGAAATTTCGCGAAACGATACATAACTAGCCGTGTTTTGCAATTTTGTTCAGAAATTAACAGTTCTTGTTATTTTTTATTCATCAACCAAACAAATAGATTTTGTATAATCGGTCATATCGTTTCAGTGATGTTTTTTTTTGGGGGGGGGGCAGTTTTTAGAACATCAAGAACAAAGGAAATCGTTCATTGGAGATAGAGGACTTTTGCAATTTTTTGGGGAAGGGAGATGACTCGAACCCTTCGCCTTGTTCATGGCTCTGTGAGTTATTCGATACTAACATGTTCTTCCTGATTTGTTGATATGAGGGACACATTAGGAGAAAAAGCACCCAAAAATCAACAATACACTGTTGATTTAACTTAAAAAACACAGTGTTACTCAGATCTTGGGGTCTTTGCGTGTCTGCCAGATTCAATGTGACATTTGGAACATTGTGCTCATTGAGACAAAGTTTAGCGAAATTTTCGAGAAATCGAAAAGAGTGTAGAGGCTGTAGTCAGGCTAGGAGTAATCTGACAGAAAATCAAAAAATGTTTCGTAATCAAACTGTTCAACTGGTTGCGGTTGCGGTTGTGCCACAAAGATCGGTGGTAACGGTGGTCGTGCTCTTAGCTACATCAATCTCGTTTTCGTTTTTGTTTGTTGTCATTAGCAACAGTTGGTGTAAACTTTTATCGTGAGCAGGTAAACTTAGCAGAAAAGGAAATATACTTTGCTTTACTTTGCTACGAACCGCACTTGTTTGACGAACGGACATATTTGTTTGAAATGTCAACAAACTTCAGCGCAAATCAGGTGAGTGGATTAAACTTGCGGGCTGTCTTCTTTTGGAAAAGTTAATCTATCTAGAACTTTATTTGGTACCGTCTAAACTTAGGCCAATGTGATTGTTTATATGCCCCCAACAGCATTAGTTTCCGTGCAATTCTGCTTATAGTGCTGCAAAATCAAATATGTTCCGTTGCTGATATACGAATACCATCGTGGGTAAATTTTCACTAACAACCCTAATACTATGTACGGCGTATTCCCACATTCTGAGGTGGTACATTCTCAATGATATGTTAAGAATCTCTTTTGGAAATTTAATCCTTTTTCCTTAAAGTATGCAATTGTTGTTTCATGCTCCAAGAAGCTTGTATTTTATACTTATCATGCAAACACCATTAAGTTCTTCGTGAAAATAATTATAACAGCATTTATATATTGTTTTATCTTTCCCAGTATGAAAAATCATTTGCTGCCCAGAGGCTCCAAAACTGGCAAATACCAAAAAAGTTCAAGGAGGTAGCTGTCACATGTTTTCATTGTTTCCCT